CTGCCATACCTAATGGAGAATCAAAAAAGGAAGAAATAGGTGATTTTGGTTCTAAGTTGGAGCCCTGCTCTAATAGTCGAGGAGAAACTGACAGTGAGGATATAAAGCCTTCAATTTCATGTAATCCAGCAGATGACATTTCATCTCCGGTTATGTCATCTGAGAAAAAGATGAAAATATCTAATGGGCCGCAATCAAAAGATGAATTATCCACATCTGCTTCAGATAGTGTTTCTAATGTAAAGGAGGAAATTTCTGGTGATAAAAAAGAAGATATTGACCGGGTTAAGCACCCTGTTAAGGGACAGAAGGTATTTGCAAATGGTCACAAGTTCAAGAAAATGGCTTCTGGGTCAAAGAAGAGATGTGAGGTTGTAGTTGAAGGACAAAGAGGTAGCTCTGCTGTAACATCACTGAAGGATGATTGTTCTGGTATTAGTGTTGATCTCCCTCATTCTGGTGAGCAATTTAAAGACACAATAAAAATGAAAATTGCATCTGATAGTAGCATGATGGAATATTCTTCTGTTGCTTTGAAGTCAGATATGGATGTTGGTGGTGGAAAAATAACTAAAGATGTGCTTAAATCAAAAAGAAGCTTGAAAGTATCAGATGATGACACTGTTGCTAATTCCAAGGATGAGGCTTGTGGAAATAAAAAATGTGCCCAACCTGGGACAGCTGGGAAGGTTAAGTTGGGAACAAATGACATTTTACATCCTGCCAAAAAGTCTAAGGCTGTAGATTTGAAAGATGATGCTGTCAAGGCATCTCTTTCTAAGAGCGTGAAGAGTGGTTTTTCAAGTTATAATGCTGATGACAACAAAGCATTTAAAAATTCTGACTTAAAACGGTCCTCATCCCATGTGAAGACTGAAATGGTTTTGGCTTTGCAAGCTCAAACATGTAAAAGTAAAGTTGAATCTGATGTTTCTGGTGATGAAGCTGTGCTGCCTTTAACAAAGCGCCGTAGGCGGGCTTTGGAGGCTATGTCTGATTCTGCTACTCTCAATTCTGATGATAAAATGGGGAAAAATTCTCATGAAATGAAGAATGATGTGTCATGTTTTAACAATGTTAAACCTCCGGTGCCACAGTCACTCAAAAGACGGAGAGCTGTTTGCCTGTTTGATGAGGATGATGATGAAG